ACCTCCATATCCATCATAATGTTTCCAGTGACCACTAAAAGGCTCCCATCCACTATCAACAAAATTCTGGTTCAACAAGTCAGCCACATTCTCCTAATCTTCATCTAGATCACCCTCCTCATACTCATTGTTATTCACTTCATCAACTTCAGGTACATACTCACCATCACTCTCAGATTGACTATCATCATCACTATGATCTCTGTCATCTTCATTAACAGCCCTAGTAGCACCCCTTTTCCTAGTCCCAACACTTTCTTGTGCCTCACTGTGTATGTTTTGGGAAGACTGACTAAAAGGAACAAACAAACCCTTTGCCCTAGCAGTGGAATTAGCCATTTTTTCCCATGAGGAAAGAGCTGCACTTTGCTTAAGCATGACCTAGTTCTTTTGGAAGTTTCTGGAATTGGTTTAGGATGAGGTGGTTCAAGGGGGGCCTTCCTAAGATTTGGGTTGGGATCACCTTGTAAGAGCCTAGGGCTTCTTCTGGGTACAGGGGATGCATGTTGGGAGGAGTGGTTGGTGAAAAAGTAATCATCAGCAAGTATGACATGAGGAGGGTAATGTGGAGATATTTCTTCTAATAACCTAGGTAACCTCCTACCATGAGTGGGTGGAGAAGAAATATGTGGAGGTGAACTAGGTAGGGTCAACCTTGGGTTCCTCCTAACAGGTTCTAATTTACTCAATGAAGCAACTGATTCAGTATCAATGTGTTCATGTTGCCTTTTATTATTGTTTTGCCTGGTGGGTAATTTTGGTGTGAAAGGCTTGGGTGGGCCTGATTTAACTGTATTAGATGGGCCTGGTTCAGAATTAGTTGGGCTGGTAGGAACATTTGGGCTAACCTCACCAATTGGGCCATTAACAGAAATGAAGTCATGTGGCTTAGGATGAACTTGTTGGGGTTTCACTGTTCTTGCTAGTTTCAGTATATAACTTGGCTCACTCAAACAATGTACCCACAAATCAATCTCTTTACTTTCAATATTTTGAAACATCTTCATCATTGTGCCATCATCAACTAAAACACGAGCTTTCTCCTTACAACAATAATGCAACCCAGGGAACTCAGGCAACTCAAACCCTCTAATTGCAAAACCCTCACACATATCATTAATCAAATCAATTAATACACACTTATCAATATCATCTACTGTTAAGTCAACACAATTAGCACCATAGTGGATTTTTAAAATCCTCTGTTCATCCATCTGCAAATCATTACCAATAAATCAATAAAAACAAACAATTGCCAACAAAGACCAAATTTATCAAGGTTCATGCAAAACAAACCCAGCAAACAAGTTTCTACAAATTACACAAATTCATCATACACTAATCAAATAACAAAGACCCAAGAAAGACGCAATCGTTGGCAACATACACTAATCAAATAACACAAATTCACCAATTTCATCCACTAACCATCTCAATCATATCACAATTCATCAAAAATACAAAAAATTTGAACCAACCTATGCATTACCAAAATAAGATAACAATTACATACCTTCGTTGATAGGGCTACCCCAGTGTCAGATTGTTCTTTGCAAATATCGCACGAATGAACCCTAAATTCTACACAAGAAATTATCTCTCTCAGTCTCTGAATTTTTGGTTTTTAGGGTTTTTGATCAAAAAATGAAACAGAGGGCAGTGATGTCATTGAATAGGAGGGAATTTTGAAGGAGAGAGAATGTTCTGTGAACAGTATCAGGTAGGTGACGGAATTAATGCCAACTACCAACGTCCGTCATAAATGCTGCATGACGTGGGCTACTTTGTAGATGTCATACGTAATTTGGGGTTACACTGTAGATTTCTTAAAAAATGGGGCACAACGTAGAAAATGAAAATTTACAGGGTTATAATGTAATTTGCTTCATAAATGTTACGGAGTACTATATTTTACGAGTATATAATTAAAACTATTTAGAATATTGCGCGGATATTTATACCTATAAAATATTTATTTGTTTACATATTTCCCTCATTAATGTAAAAAACAACCAAAAAAGCTCTCAAAACGTGGCTAATTATGGTGCGAGCGTAGTTACATAAAAGATTAACATAGTGTGGATTTTAACCATCTTATTAGTTGATTAAAGTGTTGGGGTGGCAGTTGAGATCAAATCCGTCTAAATCATTCCTCTTGCTACTATCTCTACACGGAGATTTAGAAAAATGAAAAATAAAATAAAATAAGGAGGGGGGGGGGGTGATTGCTTAATACCTCCTTTAGGCTTAAGTCATTAGTCTAAGGTGTAATAAGCTAATGATTATGCATCATTCTGATCCACGATTTAAGTGTTGGGGTGGCAGTTGAGATCAAATCCGTCTAAATCATTCCTCTTACTACTATCTTTACACGGAGACAGTGGCGGACTGGGCCTTGTGCCTGGTCGGTCAAATGACTCACCAGGGCCTAAAAAAAATTTTAAGTTTTTTTTTTTAAAAAAAAAAAAAAAAAAAAAAATTCTAACTTCTGAGTTAGCCCTAGCCCACTTCGCCAGTTCGTCTCTTCCTCTTCGCATCTTCCTCAGTTCATCATATTCCTCTTCGCATCTTCCTTTATTGAAATGGATTGGGCCCTTGCTTTTTTTGCTGAACACTGAAAGAAGAAAGCTGCAATTCACCATTTTTGCTGAACTGAAGCGATGGCACAGCTAGATAAATTCAGGTTAGTCATCTACTCATCTTTCGGCTTTTTTTTTATTTATTTATTTAATTGTTGATATTACTTGTTAGTTATGATTTAGTAATACTAAATTTGAACCCTAATTTTTCAATAATCAACTCAATTTCAGAGAATTTTGCATTATCTGAATTAGGGATTTTATATACTAAAAAAATTCAATTGAGAAAAACGATGCACTTAATATCTAAAGGATTGTCAATTATCAAGTAACATTGTAACACCATCGTGGCAAAATTGTGAATTTGTGAATTGTGATTATGAGACGACTTGGAAAAGTTTGACAGTGCTCTTGTGAATTTGTGAATTGTGATTATGAGACGACTTGGAAACAGTTTGACAATGCTCTTGTGAATTTGTAAAAATGTGAATTTGTGATTATGACAGTGGCAAAATGTTTCTCGTTTGAAACTTCAAAGTTTGACAGTTATTGTGAATTTGTGAATTGTGATTATGAGACGACTTGGAAAAGTTGCAATAACCCAAAGTCTCTGAAATGTTTGACAGTGCTCTTCGCTAGTTTGCTCACGCCTCCAGTGCTGCTGGCTGCTGCTCGCCTGCTCTGTCCTCTGTGCTCACCGCTCTTCGCTTCGTCGCTTCTTCAAAATTCTAATCTCCTATTCTCATTTTTCTAGTAAGTTGATTTCTAATTTTTAGTTTAAAATACTAATCTTCAATTTAATTCAGTCTAATTAGTTAATTCTATTAAACTTTGGTTGATTTTGTTGTTGTTTGTTTGGTAAACTTTGAACCTTTTGTTAATGTTGTTGGGTTTTTGTCTTTTTGATGAAATTTGAACCTTTTTGATCATGTGATTATGTGAATTGTGGTCAGTGTTTATTTAGGGTGTTTATTAGCTTGTTAATTATTAGTTGAAGTTTTTTTTGGTGTCATTGATCTTCAATTGCAAGAACTTGAAAATCGATTTCCCGAAATTACTAAAGAACTACTTGTGTGTATGTCTTGTTTGAGTCCTGTGGATCGTTTTTCTAAGTTTGATAAGGAAAAATTGATTAAGGTTGCAAAATTCTATCCTAATGAATTTCCAAGTTCAGAAATAGTCTTTGGTCATACACTTGAGAGTTACATTTGTTCTGTTAGAGGAGATGAAAGGTTTTGGAATTTGAAGGGTCTTAGTGAACTTTCAATCAAATTGGTTGAAACGGGATTGTCTGAAACTCATGATAGGGTTTATTTACTTTTGAAGTTGGTGTTGTTTCTGGCATGAAGCAAGTGAAAGACAAACTACGAAATAGCATGGGAGATCAAATGTTGAATGATTGTTTAATTACTTATTTGGAGAATGATTTGTTTTTGAATGTTAGCATGGAAGATATCATAAATCGATATCAAAACATGAAAACTCGTCGAGAAATATTGTAATAAGTTTGCATTACTATTTAATTGTCTTTTGTAGTATTATATGAACATTTGGTTGTATTTTGTACTGTTTGAATATTTAGATGTATTTTTTAGTACTATTATTTGGTTGTTTGGTAAAAAAAATTTTTTACATATTTGATTATCGATTGTGACTCACCAGTCGGAAATTCCTGGGTCCGCCACTGCACGGAGATTTAGAAAAATAAAAAATAAAATAAAATAAAACGGGGGTTGATTGCTTAATACCTCCTTTAGGCTTAAGTCAGTACTCTAAGGTGTAATAAGCTAATAATTATGCATCATTCTGATCCACGATTGAAAACAATTAAACAAAAGATGAATTGTAAAAATTATTTGTAATTCAAAAAGTTCCGATGCCGGGAATCGAACCCGGGTCTCCTGGGTGAAAGCCAGATATCCTAACCGCTGGACGACATCGGATTTGTTGAACACTAAGCATACACTAACTATAAGTATACACCTCTGTTCATCTTTAACATAAATTGTTGATGCAAGATGAGGGTATAATAATTGTTGTCCGGCACCAATTTTTAAGTAACATCAGAGTAAAAACGTTAATGCTCATAAGCATGAAAGTTACTATGACAGCTAATATGGTGATGAAGGCCAAATAGAGACTATTTCGTGTTCCTGCTCAATAGAATTTATGCTGTCGAAGGAATGACAGACAATTTATTGAGATCTACATTTGAATGGAATGAAGAATGTTCGCTTTGTATACAACAATATCAACTTACAGCGTAGAGGATTGATATTGCAGATGAATTATGAAATTCAAGCTGCAGTTGACACCACTTGCAGAATGCTACTAAGCCAAATAATAGCATGTTAACCATCAAAAGTGACAGTCTTCCAAATTCATAGAACCTGCATAAGAGCCATAGATATAATCCCTATGCTACCCAAAAATCCTGTATCAAATCGCGACTGACTGCAAGATTGTGAGTAATCAACTAACCAGTAGATTTAAAAATATTAGTGCAGATGAATTTGGAGCCTTTAAATTTAGTCATAGTACATTAACTCTCAAATTTTCTTTATTCTATCTCCTTAATTACCATGTTTTGACAATTAATTATTCTAGCACACAAGTATAATTAATTAATCGTATAATAGCCATCCCGTTTACTTCCTCCTACAGTCCCACCATCCTGTAAAATTAATTACTCGTCCATTATACACTCAAGAACACGATGCACACTATTGTACACTCAAGAACACGATGCACACATCCATTGTCAATCTAATAAGAACTTGTTAACAAAATACATCAATCAAAACGAGGACAACAAAAATAACTCCGGCAAAAGCAGTAAATAAACCTGATCATATATATTAATTTATATATAAACATGTTCAAAATTGTTTCAATAATAAACTAAAAATCTCGAGAAATACAAATCTCCTTCCAACAAAAAAAATCCCCCCCAAAAAAAAAAAAAAAAACCCTAAAATTGCAATTCTTCAGTGCCGGAGACAGAAACACCAGTCTTTTTAACAGAATCAAAAAGAGGAATAACAAGCTTGCGATGATGATGAGGACGAGAAAGCTCTTCATGAATATCAATTTCAACAAAAGAAACCCCAATATCCTTCAATCGAAACCCTAATTTCTCACCAACACGAGATGCAATACGAGCGTCCCAGTAATTCTGCGATCGAGGAAATCGATTAAGATTGGAGCGATAATGGGAGACGAATTCTTGCTCGGAGGAAGAAGCCATGGCAATGATGGAATCCGTCGCCGGATTAGTCACCTGAGCTGATATTTTCCGGCAACTCACGAGTAATCGGAGGAGATGTTGCGGGGTTCTTGCGGTAGACATTGGAGATTTTTGGTTGGGGGGGGGGGTCCACTGGGGCTGGGAGATTCGGGATACAAAAGAAAGAGATGAAAATGCAATTATGAAATTAGGTAAAACTGGTGAGTTTAAGAGGGGAATCGATCTCGGGTGGCACGATGAAAACAATGTTGCCACGACCACGAATCACCATATGAGGAGCATAGCTGTATAGGAGGAGGTTTAAGTTAATCTCTAAATCTCAATATAACTCCTCTCACAATTTATGTATTTGTTTTGTTTTATTAAATAAAAATTAAATATTTAAAAAATAAAAGATTAAAATTATGTTGTGAAAAGAAATATATTTACAACTTTATCTTGCGGTAAATATAAACTTGGATTATCTCATAGCTTGGAAAAAAAATTCCTCAAAAAAAAAAAAAAAATTTATCAAATGGTAATTGGAAGTGGTAATTGGCAACAAAATTTTAAAATTAGTGTTTTTTTGCAACATTTTTTTTTTAAAAGGTGGTTTATATGCACAAAAAAAAAAAAAAAAGTGTTTTTTTGCAAAATTTTTTTTTTTTTTTTTTTAATATGATAAAATATTCATTTTTAATACATTATAAAATTTTATGGTCAAAGTGTATATAAGTAGTGCAAAATGTCAAACCGTGTCAATTATGAGATAGTATGAGGTTTGTCCTAGTAAACTTGTAACATTATGCTTGCCCTCTAGAGTTTAGTGGTTTCTGCATGACCACTGTCACTCTGTGATAATAGTTGGAGAAATTACTTTTGTAAGAGTGAGAGTGAGTGAGACTGTGAGAGAGAGACCACCCTAGTCATTCTTACTACTCTAAAAAAACTAGCTAAATGCTTAAGTTTATTAATTTGTGCACGCTTTGACAACATCAACATCGCTAGTCTTATATATAGCTGCAACTTGTACATGCATGATACACAACTGAAATTTTCAAATTTACAAGATTGATGAAGGTATAAGCTACTGCATACCTAAACACAACCACATTTGACGAACTTTTGCTACAACAATGGTTTTGTATTACAGGCTACGTCCATAACCGGCCCCTTATAAATTATTAGCTCTTGTATTTCCTCTAATGTTCGGCCCTTTGTCCCTGGGACCAGCTTTGCGATAAATATCACAGAGATTGCATTAACACTTGTAAACACCAAGAACGTGCCTGAAAGGAAAATCAATTAATCGTGTTATTTTGTTAATCCAATGAACTATTTACACTTAACAACAATAGGAAAAGAGAGGAAGAAAGATATCTACCCGAAGAGCTCCATTGCATCATAAAAATGAATGTGTAGGTAACGATCCAGGAACTTGTGCTGCTGACTACAGTTGCTAAGGTTCCGGCTGCCCCTTTTATGTTTATAGGGAATACCTGAGGACAAATAGTACTTATTACGTTTGTTGTAAGAAAATGTGATAGAAACTAATTAAGAATGCTACCTCAATGAAAATTCACTTACCTCTGACATTATAACACATGGTATCCCTCCCATTCCTATTGGAAAAGACGCAGAAAAAATCTGGAGTAAAACACGCTAAGGATTAAGATATACTCTGTATAGATTTAGTGTCACAGATTGAGGGGAAATATGAAATTAAGGAAAGTATTTTCTGAAGAGAGTCTGTTTGCCTATCTAGTTAGGAAAATATTAGGAGGCGAAGTGTCCAAAATGTGTCTTATGCAGTATTATGCTTAAGAGTGTAGGCAATCAGCTTGATAGTGGAAAAAAAAAACTGTACCAATATTCCGACAAGGGCAAGATAGGGGCCGGTATCCATCATCAAACCATGTACCTGATCAGCAAACACATTTATGTCAGAAAAGGATCAGAAAACCGGGTCTAGGAGACACTGAACTACTAAAGTTCATATCAAAGTAGAAATTGTGCACCAATATGCTTGTGAGTATGGAACATACCTTAAGCAAGAAAGATAATGCCACCAAGAAGCAGGCTACGCCCATCCCTGCTGCAGAAAACTACAAACACTCAAAACATTACATTACATTACATGTAGTCTTCTTTGATTAACCAATTTGTACACCAAACAAAACAATTTAGTGGAAGGCTTACTCAGATGGATTGATAGCTTACCAGCAACAGTGGCCGTCTTCCATATTTATCCATAAAAATTACACACAGCGCAAATGGTGGCAGCTGCAGAGAAATTGTGGTTGTAGTTTTTAGAGAAAAGTTAAGAGAAGAACTCTGAAGTCAGAATTTGTTTGTTATTGTATAAAAGTACAGAGTATATGATTAAAACCTGGATAAGTCCCATAGCTATAGTTCCAATATTTCCTGGAACTCCTGGAAAAATTATACACAAAAAAATGTCAGTAAGCGATCAACTGTATGATATATTTTCCAATAGCTGCTGCGACTGACTTACCAGCCGATTCAAAGATAGCAGATGCGTAATACAAAATCCTCTGTGTCCCCCCAAATCCTCCTAGGGCCATGAGTCCAAGGGTTACCTAAAAAAAATTTAAATGTATACTTCATACTATGTAGTACAAGAAACTGAAATTCATCATAGAGGAATTGAAGTTACTATACGGAAAGTATTATTTTGTTAATGTGTGGGGCTTACAGTGAGTGGATAAGCATATTTCATCTGGAACACATCCAAGAATTTTTCTGAGATATTTTCAACAGCTTCAGTATATTCCTGTAAGACAATTAAATAGGTCTTAGATTCAACAAGACAACAACTCATAGTACGATAATTTCACTTAGCATAAGAAGGCCAGTGGCCTATATATTACTTTGATATCAGCTGCTTCTTCAGATATATCAGTGTGTTGTCCCCTAAGACGTTTCAAAGCTGCTTCAAAATCATCTACAGAACTGGCCGTCACCTGCAAAACACGGATTCAACACCATCCAAGACATTAAATTAGTACTTTATTTTGCTGCCTTAAATAGTTCTGTTGTCTGTCAGAAAATATTATCACATGAACTATTTTAGGATGTTTGAATTAAGTCGTTACATTCCTAAGATACTAATGGTTTGTGATTAACTTTCTTATGAAGGGTGTTGTGTAAAATTGCGTCGTATAGTATCCTCAGCTAGGTATGAAATTGTATGGTTACGTGAGAAATTATATAGGACAAGGGTATCTTTGTGTTCTGTTTTTCTTCTTTCAGTCTTTATAAGTTATAACATCCTAAGGAAATCATGGTTTAACTTACCAGCCACCTAGGAGACTCTGGAATGAAGAATATTCCCAAAATTTGTATCATGCACGGAATAGTACCTAAAAAATGTTAAACCAAATTATTTTAGCGAGCCTAAAATGGCTAAATACAAACGAAGTATGTAAGGTTTAGTATGAAAATCAAAATGATTACCAATCTTCTATCAAATAAAAAATGATTACCCATCAAAGCTAAGCTGCGCCAGCTAGTTATAAGCCCAACAAGGAAAGCCGCTGCTATTCCACAGCACATCAGGAACTACATAGTACAGGGATAAAGTGCAAGGTCAAAACACTCCTAGAACTTGTATAGAATACAACTCGAGTATCTCTAAAATATGAGTTGCCTGATGGAGAAGCCCTAATCCCCCTCGAATATTCTTTGGTGCTATTTCTGCAACGTATACAGGAATCTGCATCACAAGCATTTACTGTTATTATTATTTTGTTACTTATGTTTTCTTATAGGAAAAGATATTAAGCAGAAAGAAGAAATTACGGTGTAAGTCATGATCCCATTTGCAAAACCAAGAGCTAGCCTACCAATATAGAGGGACATTGAATCCTGTCACGATATACACCACAAGGTAAGGAAAAGATTATAACATTGATAACTGATAAGATAGTGTACTCGAAGTATTGACCAAAATTTGAATGTAACAAGATTAAAACCTGTGAATATGCTATAGAAAGCCAACCAGCAAGGCAGAGTATACTTGAAAGCCCCATAGCCTGCATCAAAATAGACGAAGTTGAACTATAACCATGCACTTTGAATCTTTTGAGTACCAAGTCATCAAACTAGGAATAAATCAAAACTTACTCCACGACGACCAGTTAAATCGCTTAGTTTTCCACATACTGTTGCACCTAACAGTCCTCCGGCTGTCAAAAGTGATCCAAAGAGTGAATACTGCAAAATGCACACCAAGTAGAGCCAATATTCATTTGATAGAATGAGTTATGGAAACTTTTATTTGAGATGGCAAGCAATTAGGCCTATTTACATCAAGATTTGTCGCGTCTTTGGCTGTTATCATAATGTTGAAAATAATCTCTTTAAACTCAAGATATTTGTCTTGAAAGAAAGGTGTCAAGTGGCTCAAAAATTTGACAAAACTTTATTGATTGGAGGTACTGATAGAGGACCAACTCAACCAAGCGGTGAGACCCAGAAATATGTTTTATACTCTATCAGGTACAAAAAATTTGAAACGATATCATCTGCATATTGGTTCCAAAAAACCCCATATGATGTACTTCATTTCAAGATTTTATTTCAATTTTGACAACCCATTTTACTACATTACTCCTCTAGTCCTCTTACCCCCAATCCCAAGGCCTAATCTAAAATTCTAAATCAATAACTACTCTTGTCATTAGTAACAATAGCAAATATTCATCTGTATTTATAGATCTCATGTTAATTGGTACAAACATTGTCTTGATCCACATTTTTCTTACACTTACCTACTCATTAATTACACTGTCTCGGACATTAATCACCCTTTTTCCCCTTACACTCACCCACCTAATTAACTACTAATCTATCCTCTCCATCCACAAATAACCTTCATGTTAAACTTGGACATGCATGGTTTCAAAAAATAAAATAAAATAAAATAAATTGGACATGCAAATTATAAAATTTAGGGTGAGGCGTGTGAATGCGAGATTAAAAAAATAGTTGAGGGATCCACATCAAATATATATATTCCGTTATATTTTTTACGAACATCTTAAAATAAAATATACGAAGATTATTTGTGGACTGAGTATATTTTTTAATCTTTGTGCTTTTTTTATTTTTTATTTTTTATTTTTTATTTTTTTTTGAGGAAAAATCTTTGTACTCTGTCTCTGTAATTTGTTATGAATTGTACTTCACCCCAAAAAAAAAAAAAAAAAAAAAAAAAAAAACGCTCATGTCTAGGGAATATAAAATGTGTACCCAAATTTTAAAATAGATTAATTATGGACGGAGAAAATATCATATCATAATACGATGATTTCGATCCCAAAACAGAGTTTAAATATCAGAAAAGGGTAAAGTATAAGAAATAGACAACGAAGAACTAACCTCCGCTGTAGAAAGGTGCAAGTCTTTGATGATTGCAAAGTGAACAGGAGAGGAATATCCTCCCTACACCAACAACAAATTGCTAAATCAATTAGCCCACACATTAGGGATTAATGCACCAACTAAACACATTTACACAATACCTAAATTAAATTACATAATAACATAAACACGGAGTTCCAATTTAGTGCTACATTTAATTAAACATATGCTAATTACATTAGTAAATGATGAATTGACAGAAAACCTTTCAAAGAGTCGGTCGAATATGTTGTTGCATTTGCATGATACTTATTATTACACATATATCTCTTGACATCAAAATTCAAAATTCAATATCAAATACTTCCTCGGTTTTTTTTATTTGCAACAGTTTGACTTTTACACCATTTATGTGTTTTATTTCGATTAGATTTGACAATTAACGACTCACGACATGAATCGGTAAACGTGAAAAGAGAAGTGCTGCCACTACAAAAAAAAAAAACAGAGGAAGTATAAGTTAAGTTAAACAATCCGCATTATCGGATCAACTCAAAATAAACTCAATCCAAACGACTCATTTCCCTCCTCTATGAACGGATAAACATTTCGAGTATTTGCTCTTAAACTCATAATTAACATGCAAAAATTCCAAATGTAACGCTTGAATTATAAGATAAAAATTATGATTAAAAATTAAGTAAATAAAACTTACAGCAAAACCACAAGTGAAAGAACCAGAAACAGCAATGAAGATACTGAAAAAGAGAGCAAAAGTTACACCACCCTCGCATTTTCCGCCAGCCGTTGATTCAAATTCTTCATGAATTTCAATCAACGGTTGTTCTTTCTCTTCCATTTGGTTCGTTTTCCACTCCATATTATACGTCAAATTGTTTGATGAATGATGATATAATAATATTTATATAAGAGATGATTAATACCTTTTATAAGTGTGTGAAGTGTATCAGTATTGATAACACCCCTTTTTTGATAGTACTAATAAAGAGCAAGCACAATCAAAATAGATTTCCTAGATTTGAGCTTATTAACCAACAATGATATCTACTAATAAGTTGTTTGATGGAATTAAAAACCAATTCTTAGTTTTAATATATATAGCCATCCATTTAATTTTTTGATTATGTTGGTCCTTTATTAGTTAATACATTCACATTATTTTTATATTGTTTATTCTAAAATTTTGACATGTGTCTATACAGTTACAAATTTTAGTTAATTGTTTCATTTGTTTATAGCATATTTTTTTGAGGGAAAATAGTAGTTAATTACAAGTATGCCCATATGAATCATATAATAAGCCAAAAAGTGAGTGATGAAGGGGCAAAACTTTGCTTCCCTTAAAATGGTAAAATGTAAGGATATCTCTTCCTCTTCTTGTTTGATCTTATACTTGTATTCACTAATATCAACAAAATAAGTCTAATCAAGATAGTGTTTTTTTACCCGAATTTTACTTATCTCATTAGTGAACTTATTAGACTTTATTTTAATTTATTTGAGCATATTAATGCTTATCCTATTAGAGCTATCACCTATTTGTTTGATCTTAATCACTTATTGGACTTTATATAAGGTGTTATTAGACTTAATTACTTATTACAACTCATTAACTCTCATCTTATCTAAGCTAATTAATTCTTATCTGATCCTATTATTAATCCTTTTATTATCTTATGAGAGAGTATTTATTGCAAAGATTTACTTTCCATTAAAGTATATTTGATAGAGTTTGTTTATGGTAAATATTATCTTTTGTGATTGTTTCCTATTTCTAGGTTACCAAGATAAGGTAACTCTAGGGGTGTAGTTCGGACTTTTTATAATGTTTCCTCGAATTAATGAAAATCAAGCGAGTATTCACAAAGTTTAGCATGGTATCAGAGCTGAGCCAAGCCCATGATCTCACGATTGGGGCCTTAATGGCTAAAGTATACTGGGCCAAGGGAGAGTGTTGAGCCCATGAACAACATTCATGCGAGTATGGCTATTCTTAGGTGTAACCTCCTGCACCTAGTGTAGGTGCAACAACATGAAACGCAGGAATTTATGAGTGAAACGCAACCCAAACTCAAATCATACAACCTAGTTCTAACGTTTTTCCCGCGTTAGTTTGCTTCTGTTTTAAAAATTTTAGTTTCCTTCTTCCCAATTCTATCTTTTCTCTTTTCTTTCCTAATTCTCATCAAAATTTTGGATCATAAATTTCATTATAATTTTCTTTAACTCTTTTTTCTCCTTCCTTTTTTTAATTTCAATTGATTCATCAAATCCAACCACGAATGTTGTTGAAGATTGTTCTTGATCAAAAATTTGCAATAATGATGATGATATAATTACAATGATCTTCATTCCTTCGTCATTTTGTGAAATGATTTTGAGTTTAAGAAAACTAATAATGGAGAAGAAGGTGGGTTTTATTTTATTTTCTCTCTCCTCCTTTTCTTTATATATATATATATATATATATATATATATATATATATATATATATATATATATATATATATATATATATATATATATATATTGTTTCTATTCTTAATCAATCATTGATCAATAATTATTTTATCGATGATGAGTCAAGATTAGATTTAAGATATATAATCAATTTTTTGAGTTGGAATAATTATAATCGAATATTTGTATAATTTCTGTAAGAAAAATGAACATGTAACAATTTAAAAATGAACATTTATTACAAAATGAACATTAGTACATTAAACATGAACATTTACTACAAAAAAATGAACATCTTTATTATATACAATGAATTTGAACTATTTGAATATGAAAATCATGTTCATTTTTTATATACTAAATAAATGTTTATAACTTTGTTTAACATGTTCATTTTTGTACGTGTTCATTTTAGTTTTTTTTTAAAAAGGTTATATTCAATTGCAATTGTATTTTGTTAAATTTCTATCAATTTGATCTATGTATGAATTTCGATTTATTATGTGGTGATTTTGTAATGAATTTTGATAAATTTGATTAGGTTTGTGAACATGTAATTCAGATGAATTGAATTTACGACCTTTAATTATGAACATAAGAAAATTGAAGAAATAAAAAATAAAATGATTATGAAAGCTACACATTATAAGTTTTAAAAAAAAGAACATGCATTAAAAATATGAATATACACATTTTAGAAAATGAATATATGCATTCAAAATATGAACATATGCATTATTGGTTCATTTTTTGAATGCGCATGAACATAAGCATTTCATAAGCATAATCCAACAAAATGAGAACATTTTATGAGCATTAAGAATATTTATCATATGAACAACAAATACTAACATTTCAAAACATTTTAAAATATAAACATATAATATATTTATGAATATAATACATTATGAATATTTAAAATTATATATGAACATATAAAATATTATTATGAATATAATAAATTTAATTATGAACATAAAAATTTGAAGAAATAAAAAATAATATGATTATGAAACATACGCATTATAAGTATTAAATGTTCATTTTTTTTACGTGTTCATTTTTTATTATTAAAAGTTCATTTTTTTCATGTTCATATTTTTTTACTAAATGTTCATTTTGTAGAGCGTAGTGTTGATTTTGACGGATCACATATATGTTGTTTGGGTGATTAAATTGGGCCGCGCATTTTGGGCTTTCCCTTGTTGCACCTATCTTAGGTGCATAAGGATGCATCTAAAAAAAAGGGGGGAGTGCAGGCCTGTTTCTGAGACTTTGGTGGCCTAGGGGCGGATAAAAAAAATGGGGCCCTTGTAAAATAACGACTAAATTGACTAAGAGAAAATTTTAGGTATGCACAAATTTTTTTTTTACTAAAGGCTTAAATATTTTAGAACTTCTCGGATATGGTAGAATGAGCGACACCCCGACACCTACAATATAATATTGATAGTACAAATTAAAAATTCAGTACAATTGAATAAATTATTAAAAGTTTATCATTTCACATACTGATAATTTTTAACTAAAGATTAATCAATTATCATTCTACATTTCTACACTTCGACATACTGATAATTCATAATTAAAAAATCAATCAATTTATCAATTCGACATATTGACAATTTGATTATCATAATCAATTAATTATTAATCATTAATCAAATATGAAATATCATAATTCAAACAAAATTAGAAATTAGAATGAATTGGGAAAAATATAAATTTGACATACTATTCATAAATCAGAAATTAAAATTCGTATGACATAAAATTAATATGAGTATTTCAAAACTTCTCTTGTAAAATCGAATAATCTATACATTAAAATAAATTAATCAATTGTAATTTTTGGGAAAAAAAATTAATGTACAGAACTTACCAATGACTTAATAGTAGGCCCGTACCGTTTCTGAGTTCATCTTCGAACATCGAAGCCAAAATCCACAATAATGGTGAAAAATTAATAGAAACAAATAGAAAAAATTGATTAAGTAGATTGATATGTGAAGAGCAATTGAAAGAGTATAATTTATAGGAAAATTCATAGATTTTAATCCCGTTAAAAATTGATTGCAAAGAAGAACGTTTATGGGGAAAACATCATTTTAGCATTAATTCGGGAAGGAAGATGAAAAATCAGAAAAATATAGGTAATAATACAAATAATTGATTTCATGGATGAAAATAGAAGATTATACGGATGAATTGGTTAGATTATGGGATTAATTTGTCAAATTTAACTTCCCAAAATGAAGGAGTTAATTTCAAGGAAGAATATAATGATTTAATGTGAGGAGTTATTAAGGGAATGCTTGACTAACTTACAAAAAAACGCTGCTTAGTGCTTACTTCGTTATTCGTAATATTATAATTTTAATTTTTTTTCTTTTTTTTTACACAAATTTGATTTTCAAGTTTTGGGGCCTTGGGCGGGTGCCCCGGCTGCCCCGGCCCTGGGGGAGTGTTGTGGTAATAAAATTCCACATTGAAAGAATTCAATAGTTACTACCACTACATAAGCTAAGAGAATATTTCCCTCATTGCCATATGGTTTTGAGGTGGAAACTTCTTGATCTTGTAAAGTGGTGGACTTGTACTCTCCTGTGGGTGCGGTCCAAATCTGTATTTAAAATGGTATCAGAACCTTAAATTTTATCTTTTGTGATTGTTTCCTATTTTCTAGATTACCAGTCTTAGGTCCCGTTCTCTCGGCTCTGTTGAGAACTGTTCTACTCTGTTGACTCTTGCTCTGCTCTGCCAAGAAGCTAAAAAAAGCATGGCCTTAGTCTAGTTCAGTAGCATATGGGACTCCATAACCTCTCTTAACTATGTAAGAATGTGAACAAAACATTTTGATGCCCAGAGGTTGGAGGTGAGCCTTAGTGGCATGGAAATATGTAAATTTTTGTGTATATTTGAATCCGATATACGTATGTAATTGGACGAGACTAGCCGGAAGTACAAATGTACAATACAATACAGAGTATGTATTTATTTTATTTTATATATATGTAAGTCAGTGAATATGGCATACGAAATAAGTTATTTTGTTTGACATATGTATTAGAAGTTAATTAACAAATTACAAATATAATGGCACGGTGGTGCAGTTAGTGGCTCGGTTAATATATTTTGGTTAGTACATAATTACAAGTTTGGCCACTCATTCTCTTTCTCGTTGTTGGTGTTACCTTGAAGAACTCAGGGTTGCACCAATTGGTTCGTCTGCTGGACTGCAGTAGTGCAGTGTGCTATGCATGCACGGTCGTTTCATGCAGTGGTATGTGTAAGCGGTTTAAACGAAGCTAATTTAATCAACCTATCATTATCATGAGTGGGTTGATAAGCATTAAAGATTCCACATCAATACTTTGAATGGTTATTCTTGTTTGATTCACCTTATATTTAAAAGTTCTTATTAGATGAGAATAGAAAAAATAAGGGTCTGTTCTTGCTTATAGACTGAACTAAACTGAGATGAATTGAACTGAACTGAATTAAATTGAAATGAATATTTTATAAGAGAAGGAAATTAGGAGCTGAAGTGAAATGAACTGAACTGAACATAACTGAACTGAACTGGAAATAAACGTATGAGAACAGGCCCTAAGTTCAGGTAAATATTGTTTTATTTGCTATTTTTTTTATTACTATAAAAAAATTATAAGGAATAAAATAAATTACATATTTGGAAAACAACATGTTATATGAGCGGCTAGTCACACCGTATGACCCGTTTGTACAAAATAACAAAGTAACTCATATAACTCTCATAGAGTAATCGTATTATATTGACGGAGTAACCCTTTTTATACTGATTGAATAACCCATGAATTGAAATGGAGGTAATATTTGGAAAATACACATTGATATATTTTATAAGACCTTATTTAATACTTCCTCCGTTTTTCTTTTATTGCACCAAAAAGACTTTTACACTATCCACTTAATCTTCTTTGACCATCTTTTGTGATTTATCCATTAGAAAAAACATAGTCACGTGGGATCTAGTTACATTCGTCTCGAAATCTACTTTTTAAATATTAATTTTTTTTATAATTTTTACAAAAGTATAATTATAGATATTAATAGCCAAAGTAATGCATTGACAAGCGTGAAATCCCTTATGGTGCAATAAAAAAAGAACGGAGGAAGTATTTAGTTTTTCTTATTATAGACTAATGAACTTATGCATATAAGAAAATTTAGTTAATTAGATTATCATATCAAATTTTTTTTTTTTTTTTTTTTTGAAAAATTCTATATTGGTATCCCTCAAGATTCAAAAAATCTATATGGTGATAGGGCAAAATATTTGTTCTATAAAGTGATACCCTACTTTTGAATAATACACATAGTGACCCTATTAGCTAATTTTATGGCTAACGCATCATTAAACACCTGATTGGAAGGCATCATTAAACGCTTTTAAAACAAAATGGATACCATTGAGTTTCTTTAAAAACAGGTGTACACCACATAAATATTTTAAAACACATGGGTATACCATAAAAAAGCCTTGATAATTTTCTCTTAAAGTATTATTACAAAGATTTTCCCCTACATACTCACTCTTTACTTTTTATATAAGTAAGACCATAAGATATATAAACCATAATTCTCCAACCAAATTGTGAGACAAACCTAAGATTAACTAGTACTTAGTATAATAGAATAAATAGAATAGACTATGTACATGTATATATTCTCCTATATATATCTTGTACATTTCTAATACAGAGTATGAGTGAGTGATTCTTGTATTTCCTCCAATGTACGTCCCTTTGTCTCCGGAACAAGTTTTGCCACAAATATCAAAGCCAATACATTGATACTTGTAAATATGAAGAATGTGCCTGAAATCAAACATGCCACGTTAAGGATTACATAGTATTCCGTATATTAAGTGTTTGTTTGGTTCACATCGATGTAGTACTATGGTCACTATAGATTGCTGGACAAGATGACCATATGGGCCTGACTTCTAAGTGTCAGCAAGGAGTATCAGAGAATTGGGCCCAGGACAAGCTTTAAAGATAGTGGGCCAATGGGCCCTACTAAATAAGTCATAGACAATTAGGTAGTTACTCTCAGAGTCTCAGCCTTGCAGATCCAGTTTTTAACAAGATATAAATTACAAGTAATTTTTTATTTTTTATTTTTCAAATTAGTGGATACACTTTGATTATTGATACTATTCAGTATTCACAACTTCTATTTTGTTTAAGTTATGTGCTAGTGTACTACTATGTATAAGAAACGAATATACTCATATGGATCTTATGAGCTATCTACATTTGAATTTATAAGCTGAAAGCGTGATTAAAAAAAATTCAACTAATTTGGAACTGAAGAGGTAATAAATGAATTAAGGAAATTATAGATGGAAAATCGATCAGTTGATTTAACTTATGGTTAGGTCACTTTGGGCTATATTATCAGGTGCCAACCGACTTACTTTGGAAATGACTTGACCAATGTCAACTATATACAAATCGAGTCAATTTTGCAAGGTTACACTTTAGGTAGAGTCTTGTTCATTATTTCCAAGAGTTGATTTAGGAAAGCTGAACAATATTCAAGGGTAGGTTATTTGTAGCAAATACTCCGGATATAGACACCATTGTTTTAGAGTTCTCTCACAGTCAATTTAGGTGATCATGTGATGTAGTCTACATTTCGAAAAAGCCGAGCAAAGAATGTTCACCTGATGAGCTCCAATCCATCATGAAGTTAAATGAGTAGGAGACAACCCAAGCACTCGACCAGCTTACTACAGTCGCTAAACTTCCAGCAGCCCCTTTTACATTGATTGGAAATATCTGCAAAAACATACTAGTAGTTCAGAAATTCTGTTGCTATAATTTTAAGAAACAAAGGTAGGATACTTAAGAAACCATGTCTACCTCTGACATTATAATAAATGGAATCCCTCCCATTCCTACAGGGTATGCCGCTGAGAAAATCTGTAGTAGAATCATGAAACCGAGTATAAGTCACGTTGTTTTTTTTATTCGGGCTAAATCAGTTCTGATTCAGATTAACATCAGGTCATGCAATTTCAGGTTAAGTTTAGTTTTAGGTAGAGTAATTTGATTTACCAGAATGCCAAATAGTGCTAAATAGGGACTGAAGTGTGGCATCCATCCATAATCCTGCTCAGAAAACACACGCGTGTACACACACAAACAACAAATAAGTTAATTCAGCTAAGGAAGAAGAACCAAAGAGCTATGATCAGAAAAAAAGTATATTCATGTAAGAAAGCATGTAATGGACTGACACTAACCTTCATCAAGAAAGACAGCGCCACTGATAGACAAGCTGTTCCCATTCCAGTAACAGAAAACTATAACAACAACAACAACAGACATCAATAAAAAAAAACTTTCCAACAGACCACGCAAGATGATTACTACGAAGTGTTAGCTAAATGTTACATCACATAGCATACTCACCAGCAGAAGTGGACGTCTTCCACTTTTATCCATCAAAAATACACCGAGAAAAGTAGGGGGAAGCTGCAGAGTTTAATAGCAGAATAAATACTTTTAGCAGATGAAAGGGGAGTATATTAGATATCATCATTGATGATGCTTATAATCATGAATATATCCTATTTTACCTGGATGAGAGCCATTGCTATGGTACCCAATTTGGCTGAAACCCCGGCTGATTCAAATGTTGTAGTTGCATAGAACAAGATCCCATTTGTTCCACCAAATGATGCCAGTGCCATGAGCCCAAGACTTATTGTAAGTGCAAAAGCATACTTCATTTGGAACACGTCGAAGAAGCTATCTTGCGAGACTTGATCAATAGTTTCAGCAGAGTCCTACAAGATTTTTAATGCTTAAATCTCACATGCACTATATGCAATTAAATCAAGTAGTTTAAGTCCTCTGATACTATTTTGAAGAATGTGTATTACTTTGATTAGAGCTGCTTCGTGAGCTATATCGAATTTCTTTCCTCTTAGTCTTCGTAAAGTAGACTCACAACCTTTTTCATGACCAACCTTCACCTGCAAGAACAGGGGTTTCACAGCTTAATTTCCTAATTTTATGTGTTCAGCCTGCTGTAACAGATCAATTACGCACCAAATAAAATCTGATTGCGACTTACCAACCACCTAGGAGACTCTGGAATGAAGAATAAGCCCAAAAACTGTATGATGCATGGAACAGCACCTGAAACAGTTCATGCTTGCTATTAACAAATAACAAATAGTATCGTTTTGATGAAGCTTGGATATATAAATGGCCATCACAATGGAAGTGATAAAGATTTTACAAACAAGATAACAGAAATAATGAAGTTACCAATCAAAGATAAGACGCGCCAACTTGTTAAAAGTCCCATGATGTAAGCTAGAGCTATTCCGCAGCACAACATCAACTGGAATATGAGGGCACATATTACAACTTGTGAGTTGTGACTAAGGAGTAAGAATTAAAGTTTGGACATAACTTGGTACAATTTATTCTAAAAACTCGTTAGTACTAAATAGTGTCGAATTGTAAGTGCATTATCATTACCTGATGAAGAAGCACAGATCCTCCACGAAGATTTCTTGGTGTAATCTCTGCTATGTACACCGGAACCTGTTGTGGCAAATGTATTGCTTAATCAATATAGTAATCTCAGTATTCAACTTAGTTTGAATAAGAACAAAGTCATAAAAAGTATTAAAAACAAGTGTTTAGAATAAATTACCACATAAACAGTAAGCCCCATAGCACAACCCACAGATAGTCTACCAACATCAAGTGACCAAGCATCCTTCAAATTTGCACCAACAAAAGTCAGGTTTAGAGGGAAAAGAAACTTAAAAACTCGAAAAATTTATCCTGGATTAAATGTCTAGGGAAATAACCTTAGAAAACGCGATTGCAACCCACCCGGTGAGGTAGAGTATGTCAGATAAACCCATAGTCTGTACAAAAATAACCAAAATTGTTAAGAGTGTAAGCTCCATTTGAATGCTAATCATGCTAAAAAACGTTAAAAAGAAGAACTTACTCCTCGACGACCAAAGTAGTCTGTAAGGTTACCACAGACTAGTGAACCTAACAAACCTCCAACAGTCAACATTGATCCAAAGAGGGAATACTGCAGAATAACATTAAGGCCATCAAATCAAACAATACACCAAAAGTATAACTAAAATATACTAAGTACTCCGTAATTAAGATTAGAAAGCGTAAACAAAGCAACTTACTTCAGCTGTAGAGAGTTTCAAGTCAGCAATGATTCCAGACTGTACAGGGGAGCTATAGCCCATCTATGCATAACAATACCGAAAAACTAGATTAGCCAACTAATTATCCTGATTATCAATTTTAAGATACTATTGAAAGTAACACAACACATAAAAATGGACTGTAAAATAAACAAGCTACTTGCAACAATATCAATGTGTTACAAAATTCTGCACATCCCAATTGTCAGTCTGTCACAAGTATCGAATATCTATAGATTATAGTCATTTAAGGTAGTAAGGTACCACCATAGGTCACACACGGCCACAACCACAACCACGACCATTCAAAGTACCACCCGACCAGGGACCATTGGACCAATAATTATTACGAGTATAAATTTTCTTTAAAAAAAACTGCATCCAATAATCTAATCCATGAAAATTAAAAGATAAAATTTGTCAATAATTTCAACTCTCAATTATTAATAATTACTATTATTATTAAATATTTCAATTTGACTTAATTGCTTGACATGATGACAATCATGGGCATAACATAACGTACATATGCAGCCTGCAGATAATTTTCTATTTTATAATCAGTGGGCTTATTCTAATTTGCTAGAAAAAAAAAACATCAATTACTTCTTCTTCGTATTAATTTTGGCTAGACGTGCAACTCACGAACAAAGTAACCCAGAAATTTCCTCAAAATCTGTGTACAACTAATACTCTAGTAGACAGGTTGTACTAAAAAATGATTAAAAAAAAAAAATTCACCTGTCAGAAAAAAAAAAAAAAAAAAATATCCTAAATACTTACATAGTACTCGTAAAAAAATTTCTTTAATCATTACCATCCTTTATTACGCGTCTATCAAATTTAAAATTTTCAATTCAATTGGTAATCATCGATGATTAACAAATTTTACTACTGTGACTTCTCATACAAAATAATTAATGTGAAATTTCCAAAAATAGAAAATGATCGTGAGGTTATTTAATAAAGCAACCGATCGAACACAAATGACATGGTAATCTTGGACCACGGCCTTAGAAAGAGTAAAAAGAAAAAACAACTTACAGCACAACCGCAAACGAGAGAGCCACAAACGGCAATGAAAACACTGAATAAAAGAACGGGGGTGGCGCCACCATCGTTATAAATAACATTGGTGGCGCCATCCTCTAACTTCGAGAGTAGTTTTTCTCGGTGTTGGTTATTCTTTCTACTGTGGCTTTTCTCCATAATAGCCATTATTTGATCTTCGATATTTTAGCTGTCAAAAGAATGAATATAGAGAGAGAAAATGATTGATGACTGCTTCAGAATATTATTCCATATGCTTATAATAAATGGAAGGAAGAAGAGTAGAGGAAAGAGATCATTGGTGAGTTGGTGGGTAGTACTAGATAATAAAAGGTTCAAATATCATTTTCGACTAGTGTAGTATTATTGGAATAACAAAGTAGAAAATGAAATTTCTGACATGCATGATTTTGTGCTGTTTATTTCTTTATCTAACTACCATCGATTAATGGTAATAATTTATTGTGATCATTAAAGTTATAATCAATTAAGATTTAATTTGTTATTGTGAGGGGAATCTCTAATCAACAAAGTTCACTACTCGTACTTTTTATGTTAAAAAAAAAGTCACTGTGTTTATAATTTTTAAAAAAACTTGACTCACTCTCACTTTACATCTTACGTTGATCCGTACTTTGTATAAACATGAATGTTGTGAATTGGTTATTAACTTGTTATTAACTAGTCTTTTGGTCTGTGCATTTTTATCTTATACTCTGTAATATGTTTTATTTGAAAAATGAATATTTTATGAAAGAGAAGAAGGGGTAAAAATTGATGTAATTGTAGAAGATATTAAGTTAGAGGAAATGAATCTAGTACCATTCATACATGTATTGAATTAAAGTTAAAAAAAATAATAAGAAGAAAGGGGATTATCTAATGAAAAGAGGTGACATGTGACATTGATGAAAAATAAAGTTTACATGTGACATTATGAAAATGATGGTTTGTCTTTTTAAATACTAATAAAGTATAAATATAGATTACTACCGACAATTTAAGATTTTTTTTTACTCCGTATATTTGAAATGGATGGAGAAAAAGTTATGTCATATTAGACTTGTGCTAGTGTTTCATTAAAAAAAAATAAAAAAATAAAATAAATAATAAACCTTGTGTATAGTGCTGTTTCATAAAAGCAAACCTGTTAATAAATTTTGTGTTATTTTTATAAGTTAACAAAAAAATTAGTAGTTAAAAATACAATTAGCTCGTGCTTTTGGAAAAAATGAAAAAGGACATACATTTTACAGCTCATGACTCACCAGCGTGTCTTTTAATTCCCAAAGACATGATTGACATGTGGCAAATTTTTGAAATTCATGTTGAGTAATCCGTGGTCTATACACACGGGTGTACAGTGCTCATCGTACACCCGGATAAATAAAAAAAAGGCGGAAAGAACATCCTGTGTTTCATAAAGAACATACATGTATTTGACAAAGAACATGTTTGTATTTGACAAAAACATGCATTACCAAAGAACATAAAGATATAATAAAAAGAACGAGATAAAAACTTGATAAAATTTTCTGAAAAATTACACATTATTAACGGGAAAAATTTAGAGGTGATAAAAAATCGAGTAGGGCCGGGCCATATCATAATTTCTTGTGCCCAAACCCGTAGAAAAGTAGCGGGTTTTCGGGCTTTTTTCGAACCCGGTTCGAGTTTTAACTAAAAATGTATTTTTAGCTTTGCCCAAACCCACCCTATTTCGGGCCGGATCGGGTCGGGATGCGAGTCATGCCAATGTTGATCACCTCTTAAAAAATCCTTACCAAAGATATCATTTCCCCAAAAAATAGTTTTCTATCTCTCCAAAAAAAATTCAACTTCCCATAATAATTTAGTTTTTTTTTTTACTCTAACATTATTTTCAATTAAAAATAATTTAAGATTTCAATATCAAATTTCAAAATACCATATGTTAAAAGAACATAATTTATATTGTAAAGTACATATAGTTAATACCTAAATAACACACTAATCAAACTCAAAGAATATACGATAATAAAAGTAATTTAAACATGACATATGATAATAAAAAATAGAATTTGGGAGTCACTACGACCTTAAAGAACATACACGCCAAATTCAAAGAACATACTTTGTATTATTAAACCCAAAAAAAATATATGTTTATCAACATATGTTAAATAACATAAGTTATAATATAAAGAACATATAATTTTACTCAAAGAACACACTGATCACACTCAAAAAACATATTAAAGGTATGTTCTTTGTCAAACATAGGTATGTTCTTTATCAAACACTATATGTTCTTTCCGCCTTTTTTTGTTTACCCGGGTGCACCATGAGCATGGTGCACCCGGGTGTATTATCTAATTTTCACATGTTGAGTTCATTTTTGTTTCATGCTTAATCACTCCTTATATTAAGGGTTTGTTCTCATATACTGAACTCAACTAAACTGAATTGAACTGAACTGAACTGAACTAAGCTGAACTGAGCTGAACTGAACTGAATATTTTATAAGAGAAGGAAGTTAGGAGCTGAACTGAATTGAAATGAAATAAAAATTTTATAAGAGAAGGAAATTAAGAGCTGAACTAAATTGAACTGAACTGAAAATAAACGTATGAGAACAAGCCCTAACTAACTCATCTCATGCCCAACTTTAATCTTTACTTCATGCTACCGTACTTCATATAACTTTAATGTCACATTTTTTTAATAGACTCTATTGTCACATTAATTACATTTTAGCTCCACTAAAAGCATTTCGTTCCAATAAAGCAAACAAAAAAGATCAAAATTTTAAAAAAAAATTAATTTAAAAAAAAAAGAAAAGAAAAAGATTATTATCGCATGAGGATTACATTACGGAGTACCAATTTGCCAGGTTGGATAAGAAGATGACGTGGATGGATCCCATAATTCTCCTCATCCCATTATTGAAAGAAATGAGTCCAAATGTCCAATTAGACTATCTTCTAATTATGCGTTGACTTATTCAAATTACTCGCCTAACTTTGTTTTTTTTTTTTAAAAACAAATACTCGTCTAATTAATCCCCGATCTAGTCTAATATATATATATAGAGGGGAGTTTTTCCCCGAGTTTTTAGAGAGCCACGTAGGATTATGAATTTAAGTTGTAGCCAATTAAATAAGAGATTATTAATTTATTTTACAATTAAATAATTCAAATGCCACGTTAGCAAAATTGACGAATGAAATTTTAAATTTTAAATTTTAAATTAATTAAATACAAAATATTATCTTTTGTGATTAGAAATTTTATCTAATATTTTAAAGCTAATATAATACGTAGTAACAAAAATCACATAAATATAAAAATATTTTTTTACAAAAATACTAACAAACCGTGCATCGCATGGGCTTCATCTAGTTACTAAAAAAATACAGTATTTTATAATCGACAAATAACATGCCCTAATTTTTTTTTAAAAGAGTTAATTTTGATTATTTAAATAATTAATTGGAGAAGTTGGAGTGAATGAGTGATGGAGTGGCCCTCTCACCATTTCCACTTTGAAATTTATTTTATAGATTCAGCTGCGCTATACACCCAATAAATTCAAAGTTTTTGCTTGTTATTTGATTTGTGTGTGTCATCATTTGTTTTTTTATTTGATAATTTAATAAAAAAATAATCATCAAAATTTGAATAAAGTATAAATGCACCATACACTATACCTAGGGGTGAGCATGGGACGGGTACCCGATAACCAAAATCCCTAAAAGTGATATCCATAACCCGAATCGATAAGTTCGGGTACTCGAATTTTCGGATCGGTTATCAGTTACCCAATAAGATATCCAATAATGATAATTACACTTAATTATGTAGTTATTATGATACTCCAGTATAATTTATTACTAATTAACAACAATATCAGATGATTTTGACCAAATCATTAATAATATTACTAATCTTTGATATTATAAAGTAATTATGAAATAAAGTAAGAGTTTAGATTTTAAAAAATAGATTTAAGTAAGGAAATAAGCAAATAATTAAATGTTTATTGTATCGGATCGGGTAACTATTAATTTTAAAATGATACCAATAACCATATCCGATAACAAATTATCGGAATGGGTACCCGAACCGTTATGATTATCGGATCGGATACCCTAATTTTCGAAACGATTACGAATCGATTTTTCGGGTAGTTTTGCTCAGCTGTACCTAGCTTTATATAACAATCTCTCTTTGAGCTAGTGGATGGGAAAGTGAAGTACAACAAACGTCGGCTGCTTAAATACATGCGGGCCTTCAAAGCAACCCAATCTCCATACATACAAACAAGTATTTGATGTGCATGTGAATCATCAATCTAGTATTAAATTTACCTTATACTGGTATTATTAGAAAAAATAAATTCTGTTAATGCTTCAAGTATATTAGCTTAAACAGGATATTAATCAAAAGTTAAGTAATCCAAATTAAGAACATAGATAAATTTTCCAATGTTGAAATTGTGTCCATTCATAAGTGATATTGTTCCAATTACGTTTAATAAGAAACCACTAGCACCTATTAATGATAATTGGTGAAAAAAATTGATGTTTTAAAAAATTATTTGAGTTGTAAAATATATATACTCCGTATATATATTAGATGACAATTTCTAAATAATAACAATATTAGGCGGTTATTATCAAAATGTCCAAACTTTTTAGTCTTAAACTTATTACTAATGATAAATGATTAAAAAAACTGTGTCAATTATTTCGAAATGGATCGAACCCAAAATCAGAAATTAAGTTGCTCGGCCTTAGATAGCCCTATCACAAAAAAGACCCAATTTTAAATCTACTTGAACAAGGAATAACTTGCCTCAAATTGTTAAAAACCTAATTGAAGTGATCCAAATTAGATATGACTTGACTCAAATTTAACAAAGCATACGAATTGCCAACTTGACTCGACCCAAACTTATTTGAACCAACATCTCAAATTGGCAGGTTGCATTCGGATTCAATGTGTATCGACCTATATAGGTAGGTTAACTTGAAATTAATCCGAGTTTTAATAAATTAAGGTTAGCTAATTTTGATACAATAAATCAATTTAAGTTCAAACCTTATAATATGTGCCTTGGATATACAAGAAACGCATTACAGATTACATCATACTGGGATATTGTAATATTTCGATTTGCAAATTTGCATTTTCTATTTACACAAAAGAAAATTTAACCTTGATTCATTAATGTACTAGATAGTACCGACACCGTTAGTAATTAGTTGTTAAATTACATTACGTTGCTAATCATTTATGCGTTAGCATATCGGCTTAACATTCATAACAACCATTATCTCGACTGTTAAATTGTGACTCAAAATCTAGTAGGGTTGACTTTGAACGCTTATATCTCTCAAAATACAACTGATTTTGAGA